ATTTCCGTTCCCAGACTTTCCATTTCGCGGTGATATTTCCAGAGCCAGTTTTGTTAACAGTTCATTTAGGTTTATTTTTTTTTTCTTTTTTGTGATTTTATAGACCAGCCCGGCAAATCTTGACGGCTCAGTTCTCTGGTTGTGGCAGAAACTCCCGCGCTCTAGAGACGTGACGCAATCGGTTCGCATCCGTTGAGCTATTTCAAAACTTGTTGCAGGCTTATTAATTTGGCTCGGAGCACCGAAAGCACAACTAAAACAAGTTGATTTAGGTGAAGTCATTTGCGTGCAGCCAGACACTAAACACTGAAACCGAACACTGAACACGGCAACAGAAAAACAGCGAAACAACGAAACAGTTCAGAGATCAGCTCGGGGCACTCAGGAGATCAGAGTTTGGAGTCAAGTCGGTCTTCGACTGTTTGTTGTTAGTTGCCTTTATTTTATATACATTTTTTTTCTTTAGTTTTAGTTTTTGTTTGTGTTGTTTTTGGTGGCGAGTTCCAAGCCACGCCGCACGCCTGACAAATTTGCGCAAATAATAAAAACAGATTTTAAATGCCTGGAAATTGAGTCTGCCATTGCGGCCTTAAATCAGTTTCTACCCCGGCGAAACTGACATTTAGAGCTTTACTGGGAAAACGGCAACGAGAGCCCAGCTCGGCGCTCAAATAGGAGAAACTTTATGGGCTTTGTCTATTTTCAGCACATTATTATTGCTAAAAATATATGTTTTTCTCAGCTTTAATTGTATTCATTGCGTTTCTTTATTTGGTCGTTAGGAAAGTAACGAATACATTGCACGGACATGCATTGCAAAGATACTTCCTTATGATTTATCGATGTTTTTATGACGACAAAGGTGTGTAAAAATTTTAGTTAGTGTCGAAATGTTTGCTTTTGCTAACAAATTTATATTAGCGGAACAAATAGGAAAGCCAGGGAGCTGGTAAAATATCTTTTTATACCCTTGCAGAGCAAAGGGTATTATAATTTCAGTCAGAAGTTTGCAATGCAGTGAAGGAAACACCTCAGACCCCATAAAGTATATATATTCTTGATCAGCATCACCATCTGAATCGAAATATGTATGTACGTCTGTCCGTCTGTCCGTCTGTCCGTCTGTCTGTCTGTCTGTCTGTCTGTCCTCCTGTCGGTTTCTATGTAAACTAGTCTCTCAGTTTTAAAGCTATCTCGCTGAAACTTTCCCAAAAGTTGTGTAGTTGTTGCACGCAGTATATATGTCGGAACGAGCCGGATCGGGCGACTATATCGGATAGCTCCCATACAAGAGAATGAAATAAAAAAATTTTACACCGTTGTTTTTGATCAGATCGACTTGATTCCTTCCAGATGGCGTTTTCTAACTGCTATTGAATTTCGGATTAAATTTTATCAAAATCGGATAACTCTATCATATAGCTGCCATAGGCGAGATCAAAAAAAAAATATATATATATAAATAATGGAAAAAACATTATAATGTCGTTGTTTTTAATGCCAAAAGCATGATTTTTAAAACATAAAGTTTTTTAAATACTCTAAAGTTGAGAAAAAAATTTCATAAAAATCGGAGTACTATATCATATAGCTGTCATAGGAAAGATCAAAAAATCTATATAGAAATAACGGAAATATAATTATAACCTCGTTGTTTTTCATCAGACAATAATGATTTTTGGAATATAGAGTTTTCTAATGAGTCTTGAGTTACAAATTAATTTTCATTAAAATCGGACGACTATATTATATAGCTGTCATATGAACAATATGGAAAATTAATAGAAAAATCGTCATAGCTTCGATGCTCTTTAGCTTTTATGTATTTTGTTCGACATATTTAGTAACTGCAAGGGTATATAAGCTTCGGCTTGCCGAAGCTAGCTTCCTTTCTTGTTTGAATGAATATTAATAGGGTAAATCGTTATCTTTTGAACACATATACTACAGAAGAGAAATCAATATTTTCTTTTACTGAACAAAAACTGGTTCATTTAAAAATACTACTTTTTGTGAAACATAAAAACGATATTAACAATTGTCATTGCTTTTTAGAACTCCAGAAGTCACAAAGTAAATTTTACACGTATTTCGGCGAAGCCCTCAAGGTTTTTGCTTAATAACTTATATAATGACTACTCGGCTCTTCTTATGGGCATAATGAATATATTTTTCATAGGCCCATTTGGTAAGAAGACAATATATACCTCCATTGTTATTCTTTAACCTTCCGGAATTGTCTCGTAAGCGTTTCGCAGCGGCACAAAAGTTTTTAAATTATGGCACGCCCTAAAACTTGAGCAACCGCACCGGAAACTCTTGCCCATTCGATATGGTCGATATGGCTGAGCAGAAGACTAGCCCTAGGCAGTAAATTTCCCTTCCTCAATTCGAAGCGCCGGCACCTCAATCTCAATCTACATAATTCACACTTCATTGAGCTTCGAAATTTACGATAAAATACTCGGCTGCACTTATCGTTGCTGGAGTGGAATTCTTGAGGCTTCCCCCATTCATCAGTAGGCATTTCCCCATTCATGTTCTCTGCGTTCTTCCATCAATTCACGCACTTTTCCCCAGCCCTGCCCCAAATGCTTTTGGCCCCTAAATCATCATGTGCCTGCCTCTCGTTTTTAGTTCATAGTTCTATTCAGGGCACGCTTCGCATTGGTTCTTCTTATCTGCTAAACTTTACAGACCGAACTGAGGCACGTAATATTAATTAGCCCAGCTCGAACTCGTTCGAAAAACTCAAAAATTAATGCCCAGTGGTTGTTATGTTTTGCCTTCTATACTCTACCCACAAAAAAAAATGGAAAAAGTCATCGTGCAAGGGAATTTTTATGAGACACTTTTTAGTATGCAAAATGCAAACTAAAAGGGTAATGCGAAAACAAATAAAAGCAAACAAATATAACAACACAAAAGAGAACAACAGCAATTGAGCTTGACAAAAATATAAAACAAAATATTGCGGCTTTGTCTTTTCATGTTTCACACTTTTTGGCAGCCCAGCAATTAAATTGAAATTAGCCTGCATTGTGAGTAAATTAAGTGATTCACAGAGAGGTGTTGGTGGACATTGTCTCGCCAGAAACTATATTTAGATCTTGGGCAGCAACTGCCATTATACGTGATTATGTAAATTAGAAATGGGTATATTTACCGATCGTAAGAATAGAATGTGCGACATAAATAAAAACCCTTTTCTATCTGAAAGTGTGACTCAATAAATTGAATGAGTTAATGGAAAGTAAATAAAATGTATAAATAACGAATAATTGGCTATGTTAACCTTATGGCATTTGGCATTGTTGCATAAAAATCACTACACCTCAAAACATGACTTTAACCATTTAAATACAGGCTATGAAATTAGCAAAATATCAAAGGTACTGCCGGCTTGAAGGTTTTCGGGACGAGCCATTAGCCAAAAACTTTAAGGTTGCCTAATTTTTTGCTCATCACGTGGGGCAGCACATCAATTAACACTTCAAACTTGAACTTGTCGGCCCAGAGTGACGTCATGTCGAGTGGCAATTTGTGCAATAAACAATGGAAAGAACAACAATAAAATCAGGCAACCGAAAAAGCTTTAAAACATCGGAAGCCGCCGCCGCAACAAAAGGACAGAACAAAATTTATTTAAAATTTAAATTCTTATTCATCCGCTGCGAAACGAGTTGAAATATCACCGAAATGCTAACAAACCGAACAACTTCGATCGTCTCTGCATAAAGGGTTCCATGAACTCATAAGTTATTTATACGTATTTTGGGCTTATCTAGGGCCACAACTGCTTCCTGGCCAAAAACTTTCGGAGACTTTGGCTTCTTTTCGAAAGTCATCAATAACAGAAGCGGGGGGTAATAAAGAAAGAAAGAGACACGAAAATAGCAAATGTTGCAAGTTGCAAGTGCAGTATGGTTGTTGCACTTTGTGGCAGTGGCAGTGCTTGTGGCAGTTGTTGCTGCAGTCTGGGTCTAGTCTAGATGACGCCCTTAAAAACGGAACCGGGCAACCTGTTAGGGGGATTTGTTCCCTCGGCTCGTTACGGGCCATTTATTTTCATGGGAAGTGGTCGCGAATAAAGGGAAACGCCACCCAAAACCCTGCCCCAGCGACCTTGAGCGGGTGTTTCAGTCCATCGTCACCTCTGTCGCCTGTCTCTTTTTGGCCTGCCATCGCCCTCTCGCTCGCTCAGCCTCACGCACTTTTTGCAGTTCAAACTGGACAACCAGTTCGCAAACCAGTTCCTTGCACATTAAAAGCAGAAGAAGCTGAAAGCAACGCGGGGGCCACACTTAGAAAAAATTAAGCAACTTGATGGTCGGTTAAGAATTTAGATCTATCGAAGACAAGTTTAGTTTAATGCTGTTACTACTAAAAAACATACATGAAAATCGTCGTGTTCTGACTCAAAAAAAAAATGTATATAAGTAAGTTATATGGCGCCTCGTGAACTTTAAATTACCATAACCAGAATCTCTGAGCCGGTATAAGCAAATTAATTGTTTCACACACTTCTTCCTCTTCCCACGCTTAAGCTTTATGTTAAAATTTAATTATAACCCTTCACTCAAATTTAATAGAATACTTTTAAATATATGTATTATTAACTTCGTGTTGGAGGTGTGTGTAGCTTAAGGCAACACCAAAAAACATTCATTTTAATTTCATTTAAACACACGTGTTTTTGTAGTTCGGCAAATTAGAAAACCACATTTAAATTACTCAACAGTAATAAAGTTGTTTACATGCTTTGAAATTAAACGAAAATCCTGAGCTGTCACATAACTTTTGGTAGGTATTCAAGATGACTGTGTGTTTGTTTAGAAAAGGTAAAGGTTTTCCATTTTTGGAAATACATTACATTTTGATTTGAAAACAAACTGTCTTTAATGTCCTAGTGAAATGTTTTAGATTCCTAAGTAACTCCCTAAATTACAAGAGTCACACGCACATCTCAATTTTCTCGCCGTGCACCAATCGAAACTCACCTGAAATATCATATATCCCGAGTCGTACATCCAAAAGTCCTCGGGCGTGTGGCCGGGCTTGGTCAGCTGAATGGCCAGGCAGCGCTGCAAGATCAGACGGCAGCGCTGTGGACCACCGGGTGACTTGGTGCCCATTTCTGTTGCCTTTCTGCTGGCGGGTTTCTCGGTCTCTTCGTTTCTTGGCTGCCTTCGCCTGGCTTTCCCAGATTTTTTGTTAACCGTCTAAAAATAACGCCAAGTTGGGGCTTAAGGATCTGGCACTGTGTGTGTGTTTGTGTGTGTGTGTGTAAAAGGTTCTTTTAATGGTCAAGCACTTGGGTAGCAAAAAAAAACACACACAAAAACCGAGGAGAACGCGATAAGAACGAAACCCGTATTTGCAGAGTTTTATCTCTTTTTTGTTGTTGTTTTGCTCTTGGCCTGGCTACATTTTATTTTTGCACACTTTTTCTAAGACCGGACTTTGTGGCTTTTTGGGGAATGAACTTTTCACATCATCGACGTTATTATCCCAGCATCTCGAACGCGACGCCTGCGCACTAACTCACTCACTACTCAGTACTCGTTCAGGGTACTCAGTGAGTACTCACTCACTCACGCTGCGAAATTCGAACCGAACGGGCCGAGTGGAGAATTCGAACTGAAGTCGCGGCGCCACTGGGTTTTACTCCCCATTCGCTCTCTGTCGCGGCCGCTCTCTCTCCCTCTCTCTCTCGGTGTGGGAGAGCGGCATTGGCGCTGAGCGCAGTCTCCACTCGCCAACTCTTTGGAGACCTGAAACGACACAAAAATCGGAGAAGCCGCTTTTAAACCTTGATTATTAAATCAATTAGGTGTAGTAGCCAAATAAAAAACGAAAAAAATACAGAATTCATAAACTGAAGTTGGGCTGCCGAGATCGCAATCTTGTCGCCGGTTTGTCTGAGAGACAAACGGGCTCTGCTCCTAATAACATCATCACATCATCATCATAGTCATATCATTATCGTTAACTGTAAGCCGTGTTTGGCAACTGTTTTTTAGCCAGACAGTGGGACCTCGAGGATTGGAATGATAATTCTTATGATAAAGCAGTTGTCAAGTTTCAATAGTGTATATATTGATATAAGAGATTAGCAGAGCTTTATTGGGTTATTTTCCATATTTGGTAAGTATGATTGAATGTGTTCCTAATGCTTTCTATGAAATAATAAAAAGGGCCTTGTTCTTTATAACATTTTAATTTTTTTAATTTCAATAATTACAGCACATTAGTTGGTAAAAAACAATAACGTCTTAAAAAGTCCCTTTGTTACATAATTTTTTGCAAAAAAACTTTTGGCGATCCCACTGTAAACTAATTTTCAGCCATTGGTTTTTGCATTGACGGTTACCTTTAGATATTTTTATGTGCCTTACAATCTTGGCTGGCGCTTGGAAGTCATTTCCTGCCCGAATTTGCCGGATGTGCAAACGACTAAAAATGGGTTAATTAAAAACCATCTAGCAGTGATTTTATTTGGGCTGAGTAAAGTCATTTGCCCAAAAAGTCGTTCTCAATTCCGTAGATCCCATTCAGAACCCTGCGGGCACCATTTTCAGAAATGGAGCGCATGCGAAATCTAGGAAATGTCAAAATAGTCTGTCGCATCCATAATTGCGTATACGCCATGTGCGCCGACTGTCAATCACAATTCTAATGCAAATTCGTTCGCTTTCCGCACTGTCCAAATGCATTAAGCTGACTGTCTTTTGCCCGTGCGTCAGACAATCGGAATTTGCATAAACAATTACGATTTAACGAAATTACAAGATAGGGCGGGCGGGCGAGCGAGATTTATTTTAATTTCCATCACCCGTAGCCACATCTGTGGCACCATTCATCTTCCGAATTCGGTCAGAGCGCGCGCCACATCCATAACAAGAAAGTTTAGGGGAAGACAGGGCCAAAAGCGAGATTCGTTAGGTTTGGGGCCAATTAAATGGTGAGATCATCGCCCACATATATACGACTCTACCTTTACGATTCCCAGCCACAGAGATCGAGTATGGAACCCCCTCCCTTTTGGGCATTTTCTTTTTATTATTTATTTATTGCGGCTTGTATTTGTCGACCCATTAAGCGTCGGCCTTTGTTAGAAAACACGTTTCTTCTGGCCACATTCCAAAAAAATAAGAATTCGCCAGCAGCTCTTGGCTCTTGGTTGGCCGTCTTTTGTTTGTCTTACAAATCACAAACATTATGAATTGGTGAAACGCTGGCCGAGCTCAAAAGGTGCTAAAAAAATTAGCATAAATTATTATTAACAATTATAACCAGCAGTCACAGCTTGAGCTCTTAAGAAGTCCGACAGATTTAGCATTTCTGAAGACTTGGCCGCCGGCACTTTTATTTTAACCAGCCAGAAAAATATGTCAGCTTTGCTTTTTTCCAAAGCAAATGCGGATTTAAAGAATCTAACAGCCAAAAATAATATACCTGTCACCTGAAACTCAGATTTTTTTTGCGAAAAAAAATTTGACAAGGGTATTCAAAACTTCGGACAACCTTTCTTTTTTGGTTTTGGCTTTTTGTCTAGCCGCGGGCTTTACTTAAACTTTGAAGGCTTTGACTCGGATTCAGTAATTGAATTTGCACATAGCCATGTTGAAGTAACATTTGGAGAGGCTTTTTTGGACAAGAGACCATTTGCGAATGCTCAAAACAATCGAACAAGTCCTTGAAGATTTACCTTGAACTTCAACTGAGGATCGTCATTATGTTTTTAGAATTGCGCGAAAAACAAACCGATCACGAATTATAAATTGACCAGCATTCTCTAGTGGTAAACTTGAACTATGATTTCCGGCGGAATGAAAGTAGTTTTGAACCATTCTGACGCAATTTAATATGAATTTTGTTTATTTAACACCTCCGATGACATTGGCAAAACAAATAGCTCAAATGTTAAATTCTATGTGATGTTCACTTTTATCAAGGCTACATTTTTAACTTCAGGTTACCCATTCCTGTATATGTATATATTATATTAATTTTACAATTTTCTGATAATTTAATATTCTTGTTTTCTTGTTGATATATAAATAATTTATTAGTTAACTATTCTGAAGTTATGGTAATTCTGTGAAATACATTTCTTGCTTATGGCATGGTTTCCTGCTACATTTTTACCACTCTGAGCCGCCATCACACCACCGAGCGATTGAGGTCCTTTTCTTCATTATAATGAGGCTTTACGCTGCCGCTCACCTACATCTACACCCCCGTTGATAATATTTGACAGCTTACTTTCAATTGCGACATCTAGTTAGCGCAAATTTAAGAGCGAAATAAAACAACACGATCGCATCGAGCGGATCGAACCGGGGATCGTTGGTTGCTTTGAATGGCTGACTGGATGGATGGATGGATGAATAGCTTAATGAAGCAAGAGCCTGTTCCGCGGTTCGTGGTCCGTGGTCCGTGGTCACTCAACGCGATGCCAGGCACTCGGCACTCGATCCGATCCACCCGCAAAGCATCACCCAAAAAAAAAAAAAGAAAAACCCCTTCGCACCGCTTCATATTTCAGTTTTACGGTTCAACGACAACGACTTTGCGGGGTTTCTAGGGGGAAAGCAAGGGGAGTCGTCGATCCAATTGCCGCAATGTGGCAAAGCAATCGATTTAAGCGCCGCATAAATTGAAGCCGGGGCTCCGACTTCGAGGAAAACCAAAAGGTTCCTCCATGTACAACATGATGAATTGTTTTCTTTGTCGACTTGTCGACTGTTGCGCCGCTTGTGGGCAACTTGGAAACTGAAAACTGAGCACAAAACTAAAAAGACTGCCAACTGGCAACTGAAAAAAGCTGAAAACAGGCAACTGGGAGATCGCTGAATGATGGAGTGGAGCTGGGAATGGGGAATGGAGTGGGAGTGGAAGGAGGAGGAGGCGGCGGTGGAAAAAGTGGCGCGGAAAAATTGCAAATTGTATCAAAAAATTTAAATTTTCGCTTTCATTATGCGGCGGCAGCTCGCCTCTCCAGCGCTCTGCTAATAGACCAACTGCCATTGTGTTTTCTTTTTGCCTGGTTTATATCTTTTCTCTGCCAACGAGGCTTTTCCCTATTCAATTTTGACAGGCGCGTTTTTACCCAAATAATGAGCTGCATTCGCGAAAAGTACAAATAAGTGAAATAACTTAAAGCGTTTGAATAATGCTTGGTTTTTCCACCGGTTAATAGGGTTGCTTACTCCCCCAATTTTACACAAGCTGCGTGTACTTGATTTTTAATCGGTTATTTTGTGCAAAACCCAATTAGTGCTGTATAAAATATGAAAACAGTCTTTCCTTCCCCAATCTGACATAACTGTAAGACTTTGTGGGACCACTACTCGTATACGTGATATGAATTGTATTTGCATTAAAGCTGATGAAGACTGAAATCACCAATGAATAATTATAAATCTGCTGCAAAAAGTAAAATGAGGAACACAAACTCGAGTTGGGATTGTGGGGAAATGCCAATCCGAACACAAAAGCAAATTTAAGAAATGCCAAAGATGCTCGACGAAGTCAAGAAATGACATGCCCATGTGCTCCTCGCGGGATGGCATCTCGTAGACGTGGAACTCTCGTCCAGACCACGACGGAAGATGCAGATTGCACGCGGAGAAGGAGACGGAATCGGAGTTGGAGTTGGAGAAATGTCTGCCAGGCGGAGACATTGCGGCAGACGATGCAATAACATTAGGAATTTCGTCATATCAAAACCTCCTATCACTTGTATACTCTTTCTAGAATTTATTACTCTCAATATTCATTTCACCTACAAATAAAGTGTATTACCTTTTCAATCATTATCATTATATATATCATATACAAATTATAAACTTGTTCCACAACAAATCATTCGCTTTATATTGATTTATTTTGATTAGTCATCAAATCAACAACTTCCTTTAACAACATGCAAATAAAACTACGCTAATGAGCAGGTGTGTAAAAACTGGAAAGTTATGGTCTAATAAAACAGAAATCAGCATCATAAAAAAACTAAATAATCCGGGTATTAATTTTTTATTTTTTGAAATAAAAACCACCTCACTAAGTGTGGATATAGATTTAAAGATCAATAAGATATTTTAGCCTACCAAACCGTCTTTTATAAAAGGTGATTTGCTTGTGAGCTTTTTTTTAGGACCAAGTCAATATACCCGATTTCAGATGCAATTGTCAACAGAAGCCGCCAACAATAACCATTGATAACAGCAAAGTGGTGAAAAGAAGCAGCAGAAGCGACAATACAATAAGCAGTCAACACACACACACATACACACACACACACAACAGAGATTCGTTATGCAAGCATCCAGTGCGGCGCATCTTCAATTTCAGCATTCTTTCGCCAGTCTGCGTCTGCATACTTGCCGCTTCTGTTTTCCCGCTCCCCCTTCCCCTTCCCCTCCCCCGCCCCCTTCGCCACCCAAAAGCAGCTGGAGCATTCACATTGATTGCTCTGCCTGGCTGGAGCTTCAGTTTTAGTTTAAGTTTGCCGCGTGAAAGCAACCAACACAGCCAACAAATAAAACCGAAAGGAAAAGCGCAAAAAAAAGTAATAAAATCAACTGAAATTGCTCAACACCCGGCGTAAAGTGATAATGGTTGGATTTATTTATTTGCTCACTGCTGGGAATACCAAAACCGAGTTAAAGACTCTTGACAGCATTTACGGGAAGCGTTTATCAAAAGTCGTTTCATTAAAAAAGACATTGCGTTAATTTTTATTTCAGGGTGTAATGTGGATTTCTTA